TTTCCCTGCATGAAAGGTTTGTGTGATTAGATTGGCCCCACTATGAAAATCCAGGATAATCTCCCTATCTTAAGGTCGATAACTTTAATTATATTTGTAAAGTCCCTTTTGTCATGTAACACAAAATATTCATGGAGTTTAGATTTGGTGCCACAGGCTTAATTCATGCTAATGCACCAGCATTTTTGACCATCTGCACCTTTGCACTGATGTAAGCATCAAAATGTATCTTAGAATTATATAAAAATAGTTTTGACCTTGTAGATTGCCTAAAAGGATCTCAGGGACTCCCCGTTCCGCAGACCATACTTTGATAACTGCTGAGCTCGAAAACCTACTTTTTTTTTTTTGAGAAAACATATGTTTGGCTGTAGGAAAATAAACTCTGAAATCTAAATGGCTTAATATATGAAAGGCTATTTCTCACTCAAAAAAATTCTACTCCTGATATGGGTGATTCAACTGGAGAGCTCTTCTCTATGTAGTGATGAAGTGTTCTTGGTCTGTCTTTCAATTATCTATTGTATTGTACTGTCTCATATGGCTCTGTGGACTAGCTAGGCTCTGGTGGAGGGTTATCACTTGAGGTTTCTTATACAGAAGCAATCAGAAATCAGCTGAGGTTACAGGTGTCTCTAAGGGATTGACTGGGTTAGACATCCTACCCTACCTGGCTCTCTCACATCAATGGATGAAGGCTCTTCTTGAGTGACAGCTCAGCTAAGCCTGCTGACCTGGGTGCCTGGATTACCTTCTCCTTGTAGCCTGGGCTTCTCAAAACATGGAGATTTCCAGAGGGTGTGTCCCAAGAGTAAGCGTTTCAAGAGACAGGAAGAAAAATCTGCCTGCCCCGGAAGGCCTGGGTATGAACACTAGCACAGTGTTATTTCCATCATGTTATGTTGGTCAAAGCATTCACAGAATCTGACCTGATTCAAGGAGAGGGTGATATAATCCTCACCTTAGGGTGAAAGGAGTATTAGAAAATTGGGGTCGTGTGTATTCCTTTATAATGCTTGGCTGAATCTTGAGAAGTAGTCATGTCCACCACACTGTTCTATGGATACTCACTGGGAGACAGTCACTCTGGCCTGGTCCCTGGATGCCCTATTGCTAAATTTGTCTATCAGGGCATCAAAATTATGTCTGCTTTTGAAGTCCATAATCCCTTACAGATTCCACTGTTATGATGCTTTGAAGCCCCCTTGTCTCAAACACCAGGCCTTTTCTTACTTATCAATTCTTTCAGTACTTTAGCTTCTTACCTCCAGGACATGAGGGTCCTTGTAAATCTCCTACAAGACTCTCAGCAGCTGCATATGTCAGAAAGGGTATCTCAGGCCATATCTACTGTCACCTTCTGCCTAAGTTGCTCTACAGCATTTTTAGAACTTTTAGGATGACGAGGTACCTCTTGGGATAAATATTTTGGATAAGGTATCTCTTTAATGAGCTGTAATCTTCTTGGACTATTGGGAGACTATATCAACTCTGTCTTCTGAAATCTTCCCCTCCAAGTCTTTCTAGATGTTTCTGTCACCCCTACCCTTGTGATTCCAGCTGAAATTTAAAAAAAAAAAAAGGAAGAGAGCCTTATGTCCAACTCCTTGCATTTGTATTTCTTTCCTTTCCTGTGGCTTCACCTCTCAGCTCCAGAAGGTCTTTCTACTTCCCCTTCTTGTCTTTTAGGAATATCTCTTAAACCTGTTTTTCTATGCTATAGCTAATAGTAAAAACAATCTATTTCACCAGAACCAATTCTCGATAAATGAAATGAAGTCTTTATAATTTAGAAGGGGAAAAAAACACTCTTATTTCTCAACCAAGTCTGAGTTGCAAAGGGTATTTTGTCACTGTGATAAAATTCAGCAACGCCCTATTCATTGGAGGTGGCAAACTATAGTGAGCAAGCCAAATCCCATCTGTGGGCCAACTCAAGTCTAGTTTTGAATGGTCCATGAGCTAAGAATAGATTTTAATTTAAAAGGTGTTGTTAAAAAAATGCCCAAAGAAACCAAAAAACCAAAGAAGAATATGAGAAAGAGATGATATTTGTCTTAAAAAGCTTAATTGGTCCTCTACAGATAAAAGTTTGCCAATCTCTGTTCTACGTGGCATCTTCTCTCCTCCAGAAATGATGAATAATGTCGCTTAAATGCTTGGAAAAGCACAGTGAAGCTTGGTAAATGAGTTTAACATTTTAAAAAAATCCCCATTTCAAGTATAAGAAAAAAATCTGTTTCAATATCTGACATATATTGAGTGTTTAATAAATGTTAATTTTCTTTCCAGCTCTCTTATTCTCAGTGAGGAGGATGAGAAAAGAATAGATGTATGCAATCTAACTATCCAAAAGATTAAAGCATTGATGTTTTAGATGCTTAAAAGGCATTTAATTGTTTAAATGGAATTTAAATGTTTAAAAGGAATTTGGGGGGAAAGAAAACAAGGTAAATTATTTTACAGACAAACTGAGCTTCTAATGGAGCTAGAGAGTCATTTGGAAACACAGAAGTTAATTTGAAAAAAGATTGTGTGTGGAGTAGATAAATGTGCTTCTCATTTAGGAAAACATGTACCACCTGGAACTACCAGAGTATAAGAGTCAAATTATTAAAAAGGACATCAGAAATGAGGAAGTCAGAAAGCTGAGGACCATGAGCAACTTAAGAGTAGCCAAGAGATAGAAAGGAGAAGCCAGGGAAAGACCAGTTAGAGAGGCAACAATATAACCAAGAACAGGTCTTGCTGGATGCCAAGGGAATAATTAGTAAGGAAACTCACACCCAAAGAATTTAAGCAATTTCCCCAAGACTCTCCAGCTGGATGATCACAACAGTCATTATTCTAAATACCACTACTAAATCCTGACACATCTTCCCCTGACAACTTCAATTAGTCTCCTGTTGCTACTGTAACATATAAAGTGTATTCCCTTATAATTTTAAAGGTCAGAAGTCTGAAAGGGGTCTCCCTGGGCTAAAACCAACATGTCAGCAGGGCTGGTTCACTTCTTGAGGCTTTAGGGTAGAACTTGTTTCTTTACTATTTGCAGCTTCTAGAAACTGCACACACTTCTTGGCTCATGGCCTCTTTCCATTTTCAAAGCCAGTAACAGCCAGTCATGTCTGTCTTACACGGCATCACTGACATGGAAACTGCTTCTCTCTACCACATTATAAGGACACTTGTGAGTACTTTGGGCCAACCAAGATTCTCCAAAAGAAACTCCCTATTTTACAGCCAGCGGATTAGCAACCTAAATTCCACATGCAGCCTAATTCTCTCTTGCCATACACAGTGACATATTCAGAGGTTCCAGGACAAGTAAACAGACGACTCTGAAGATCATTATTCTTCCCACCACACTACTCCATTTCAAATACTTCCTATTCTTTAGTCATTCCATCTCAGCACCTGGCAGCCACTTTTGTTTGAATTCTACTTTAATCAGTTACTAATGACAAGGCTTCTTTCATTCATTTATTTAACATTCACAAGTATGAAACAGAGTGACTTCAAGGTTCAAAGCATTATTTGTGATTTTCAAAGAGGAATAAGCTAGAGTGCTTGTCTTCAAGGACCCAAAATATGCTTACTCCATTTGCTGTGCTTGGGTTTTCCTTCCTCTATCCCTATCTTCATGTCTGAACTAGATCTTTATAAAATAGTACCTTGTTCTTCCTGTTTTCTCCTTTATCACCTTTTCCTTTAACTTTGCACACATCTAGTGGCTCAGTTTATTTGAATGTCCAGCCCAGAGTCATGGTTTTACGTACTTGCCCCTTGAATACTTCAACATTTACAGTGTTTCTGACCAAGGGTTTATGCCACATGCGCCTACTATTCAAAAGCTATCTGACCTGAGATAGACCTTATAGCTATGCATGTATGAAGCCTGAAGGAGGGTATAATTCAAGTGATAGAGTGCATGCTTAGCATGCATGAGGTCTTGGGTTCAATCCCCAGCACCTCCTCTAAATAAATAAATAAATAAATAAATACACCTAATTACCTCCCCTGTCAAAACAGACAAACAAACAATCAAATGTGTTTATGAACCCAAATATATCTTACTTTTTCTTGTGTCCAGATACTTCTCCAAGAAACTTCCACCTAACTTTCAAGTGACCAAGAGAGGCAGGAACACTGCTTAGGAGTACTGCTTCCCCATTCAGAAGTCTGTGAAGAGATTTCTCTTAACACATTGAACTTTTCCAACATCCAATCCTGTACCCTCAGCCCATATTCCATTATCAGGACCTGCTTTGCCTATGACCTCCATGACTCCTGTGGAATCACCTTCTATTGCAGGTAATCCATCTCCACACCTTCCAGTCGTATCATGTTCATTCCAACAATCAAGGCTTTTGTTCCTGCTCCTATTCCTGTCTGGAGTAGTTTTTTTCCTACTTCTCTGCCCTGTCACAACCATCTCTGTATGTGAGGTGCAGTGTTCTTCTGCAAACCCTCCTTTAGTATTTTCAGCCTAATGATGATGTAGTGTTTGCTTTTTGAGCTTCCACAGAATTTTTCTGTCATGATCATCATAAATCAGACTATACAGAAGAAGTGGCCCATTCTGTCTTCTTCATGGTTCTGTGACCCAAAAAAGTCAGAATTAAGCAGATACAATGTTTTCACAACACTTCTAATCCTGACATCTTAGACCATTAATGGCCTTCCCGACTTCTGCTCTTAAAGAAAAGTCATCAGCACATTCACCTAAAGAGGGACAGCGGGGCAACAAGAGGTTCCCTGGGGGACAGTGCCTGTGGTTGTCCTTTTCTTCTCCCAAGGACCAACAATGGTAGCATTTCAAAAGCACTTGAGGGCTTGGGATCGAATAACGCAGTCTCTCTCCAGAAAAGCCATCTTACGTTCCAACATGTGAGAAGAACAAAAAAAGTCACAGTACCTCATGCTGTGCAGTACTGCTGAGTCATTGAGGAAGTGACGGGGCATCACTGCAAGCAACAACAGGTTCCTCAGCCCCAGATCTAAAACAAAACAGGACAAAACAAAACACTGAAAGGGAGCCTTTGTGCATGTAATCACGCTTCCGGTGTTCAGAGGGTGCCTGTGCAGCACACAGGTGAGAGGCACCAACACGCCTGTCAGCTTTCAAAGGGTAAGACGTCTCTGATTCTCCACATCACAAACAATTGAGCATATACGTGAATTCTGTTCCAGACAACTAAACCAGGAGCTTGTATATGTACCATGTAAACATAATTACCTTGCAGAATTGTGTTGCATATCGTAAATCACACTATTTAAGATGCACCAAAATAAAATGCAAAGAATGGCAATGAAAATGTTTCCATTTTAAGTGCTGTTTAAAATCGCAAAACATGGAAACTATCTTGTGTTGATAAAGCACAAGCTCCTCTGGAAAGACTTCCGTGTTCTGCATATTACAGAGCATCTCACTGGGAGATGCCAAATTTTCATTACTAGTAGCCACATTATTGTGCAGACATTTTCTCTTGGGCACCTTCCCAGAAATCTCCTCTAATTCCTTCCCAAAATAAGAACACTCAAAAGGACTTAAAGAGAGGAAAAAAAATTGAAGGAAGAAAGACAGTCTTTGAGGCTAAGTATTCAAATACAGGTGCTTCATTTAGTTGTAGATTACTGTATTTTGAAATATGACAAGCATCTCCAGCCAGCCCACCTTGAAAGTTCTTTGTGTATAAGGCACCGTTTATGTGAGTAGTTTTTAGTTTTTTCTATTCAAGCCTCCTATGCATCCCTAACAAAAATCAAACATCAATGGAGAATGTGAGGTTTGACAGCGACTACTAGAAAATGTAGGAAGAGGAATGTTACTCTAGAAGTCACCTCAAACAAATACTGTACTGTGCTGATGGACTCCAACAGTGCATTAAGTCAAATGTTTCCACTGTGTGAGAATCATGATAGTTTGGAAGTGATTACCCACTTAATCTGAGATCACCTGAAATGATTCTTTCTGGTACCATGTAAGAAAACAACGTTGAAATTTCCACTTCAGTGTTTTTTTGCTGAGATAAACTGTCTTGCTTCCTTCATTCAAGCCAAGAGCTCACAGTACCATATGTGATTGCCTCACCTATATGAATTAGGGCAAAATAGAAGATAAGTATGAAAAAGACGGTCCAAGACCCATACTGTTATTTGGATCACCACTACTGAGGAGACACATACACATACACACAACCACACACAACATCTATATCCACAGTAAATACATTTTTTATATTCCATGTATAACCTCTCCATCATTTAGAAAGTATACACAATGAAAGGAAGTAAGAATTAAATGATATCAGAGTAAACTATGTTTTTATGTAATTTGTAAAAATTAACAAAAACAGTACAGTGTTCAAAAATACATGTTCCTTAACTTTATAACTTGAGAGACACCAAACAATCAACTCACCACAGATATTTAATTTCTATTGGGTTAGGTCATTTGTGTTAAAAACACTAAACCACCTCAATAATATAGATTACAAATTCTCTCCCAATAGTTTTGTTATGAAAGGTCCTCTTTCATTAGTCATCTAAGACCAGGGCAACCTAGGTATGCAAGTCATTTCATGTAAACATCACTGAATTGTTGTTTGTTCTGGTGGCATTCTGTCAGGTTAAATCTTTATCACCAAGGGAGAATAAAGCAAATTGGAGAATGTTTTAGAGGAATTGCTGAAAGTTAGCATGGGTAACTCCCATTTGATTCATGGTGTCTATGCTTTTATTAGACATGTTGAAAAAAAGCAAAAAAGAAAACTAAGTATCTTTTCACATGGGAACGTCTTCAGGCTTCATGTTATTTTCATCTTAGAGAGTGATTTAATAATTCATAAATACTAATGAAACTAACCAGAGAGTCTAAGAAGACACCAACAGTTTATTTAAATATTCCATTAGGCACAGAGAAAAGATTCAGACACGTATGTTCAAATGCTGGCTTGAGCACTTATTAGCTGTGGGACCTTCAAACAGTGATTTGACCTCTATGAATTTCAGTTTCTTCATCTACCAATATATCTAGGTTTCACAGCAGTTATGAAAAAATGAAGCTCATGAAAGCGATGTAAGTTTATGTATAAAAAACCAAGCATAATTAACATAATATCTAGCATGAAGCAGACAATAAATGAAGCACTTTTCATCCTTATTGCATGAAAAACACTACGTATGATCCTAGTCCATCCTAGTTGAGCTATAATGAGCGTCATTTACACAGCGTCAGTGAGAAATACTGTGAACAGTCACAATAACAGCACGATTCAGAACTTTCAGATAGCTACTGATCAAATAAACCCAATTAAATAACACTGGAAGGCATTTTTAAATGTCTTGAAATTTGCAAGAATATTACCTTTAGTGACATCCTATTTGCCATGTAAAATTTTCACAACTCCATGCATTCTCACATTCACTTAGATGCTGGCAGTATAATAAATGTTGACTTGGCTTAGTAAGACAGAACTGAAGCATGAAAGAGCTATAACAAATTAAAGAATAAATCATGTCCATAAAAGATATATATATCATATATTGACTTTTTTTTGGAATTACTCAAGTAATACCAACTAAAAAGTTTCAAATGAAACAAATAAATGTTAAATATTAGGTACATATTTATACTATTGTGTAAGAAAGCATAGTATATATTGAGATCCTTCATAATGGATCATATATGATAAGAGAAAAAAGAATTTTTTTATCGGATTGAAGATGGAGATGTACATATATTCAGTATACTTCATGGAATCATCACAAATCAGTAGAGAATTTGCTATTAAGAGTCAATAGAGTGAGATTCTCTTTTAACATAATACATTATTTCCAAATGGATAAGACTTATAAACAAAAGCAGCAAAGAAACAAAATAAAACAAAACAAAAACACTGGGATAATATACAAGTAAATAACTGTATAAACTTAACCTTTCAATGAACTTGATGGTATAATGATTGAATTTACAAAATAAATGTATTGATAAAACTAGCAAAAGATAATTTGTATAACATGCAATCATTTGTCATGCATTCATCTATCTGGCTAACATTTTTAATATGTAAAGAGTTTATACAAATCAGTAAGAAAACTATCTTATTATGTCTTATTAGATAACATCAGAAATTATCCCAGCTATCTATTTTCTTCATCTATAAAATGGGCATTGTAGGAGTAGTGCATTA